TGACTCTGGAGAGCAATTGTGCATCGCTGAAGCGTTCGATTCCGGATCGATCTCAGAGGCCGAACGGACGGAAAATCTGTGACGCTTGAGAGCGTTCCAAATGGAGAGGGGTCACGAATACTTTGAGGGCAATTCCCGCAGTTCCTCCTTTTTTTGATGCTTTTCTATCGATTTGGGTCAACTATCTTGCAAGGGATGTCAAGACTTCTCTAGGCTCTAGACATAAGCAAGTAGTCAATCAATTCTAAGAATCCAATATAGTTGCTCGCAGTTGCAGCCGATGATGACTCCACCCAGTGGTCCGAGCTTCGACACTGTGGAAATGCAGGTCATCAGAGTGTGGAGTGGAGACCATTCTTGGCAAGATTTGTTTTCTGGACTGTTTTTGTCATCAGCGGGGAGTGAGTGAGCTCATGGAAACAACCTTGGCTTTCCGGGCTGAAATCCTCTACTGTTACTGCAGGAACACGAAATAAGACCCAATGCCACGGGATCTCATGACCCCACGGGCTGGTGTTTGGGAGCACATGGACAACCTCCCTTCCCAAGAGATCACGTGCCACAGCCACTTGGAAGAGAAGTGTGTTAATTACACCGGTTTTGGGGGGCGCAATGGAGCTTTCCGTCGTCCGAACTATATGATCTAGCATGGCAAGTCTCACCCACGAGCCCCATGGTTGGGGCCGAAGACGACGGCGACCACGCGGCATCAGACGAACACGACGTGGTGTTCGGCCATGCCAGGAGAAGATTCAGGCCGCGGCCCGGGAGCTCGAGCCCAGGAAGTCTGCGGATGAAAGCCAAGCCATGGCCGCTCGGCGGCGGGAGAGCGCCCGTGGCCGCGGTACGCGGAGCTCAGGAGGTTTTGCAGCGGCGGGGTCACTCTTTTCGGAAGAGAGGAGAGTTGCAGCCGGGTCAGAGACGAAGTATCACGATGACAGGAGAAGACCATAGAAGACCAGAAGATCATCCAAATCCATCAACCAGGAGTCACAAGACGGGGTGCCCGCCCATTGGAGGTAGTCGGGGTGCCCCTGTCACATCCACAGTCCCTGGCTGAGACCAAGTTCACCACCCAACTCCATGTGACTCCTGGAAGATCACCTTGGAATCGGTGACTCCTGGGAAGCTTTCTCAAGATATTTCAAGGAGTCACAAGCGAAATGGAATTCCAACGAAGTGAAGAGTCAAGGAGGGCAGCGGCCTCGGCGGATTACACCAGTCGATTCCATTTCAGTTTTCACCGACGTCGGAGTCGAGCGACACACACAGCGGGTCCCGACCGACACAGCGGTTCCTTTCCGGTTCTGAAACAGAGACGGAGGTGATGGAGTCGAGGAAACGGAGACAGCAAATGAGTCGGGTGAATGGACGAGCGCGGCGAAAGGAATCCAACATCATCCACCTGATTTCTGGTTTTGACATGTTTTGAACTCACTTTTGGTTTTGACATGTTTTCCACAAACCTGGGCTACTCAACAACTTTGCAACAGAAGAGACTACCAATTTAACTTGGCTCAGTACTCAAGCAGCTAAGTGACATTTCAAAAAACATGTGTGTCGTTTCTTCGATATCCGCACCAAACGACACCGTTCCTTTCCACCGTGGGACCGCATCGAGACTCAAATGGCAAAGGGTATACCACTTCACTGTGACCGCCCCTTCGAAGGGCGCCACCGCTCCCATCCCGGTTCGTTCCGCAGTGCGTGCGTGTTCGGCGGTCTCTTCGTGCACGACCGAGGTCTGGGAGTTGTTGGTGTACGACCTTGAAAGGTCAGGGACCTCTTCGCAAGGCGCGAGGAGCAGGGATGGGGGGCCGGGGCTCCCCGTCGGGATGGACGGTCCAAGATCTGCGCGGAGGGGGGGGGGCTGCGAGGAGTCGCGGAGGAGTCGCGGAGGGACGGGAGCTGAGGGCAGCAGTCTAAGACAGGGGCTAAACGTTGATGGCTGGTTGGATGGATGGGCTCCGATTTCTGGTTTCACAGGTTGCGAATCGCCCTCAAACTGGTGCAAACTGACGCAAACGTGAAGCGACGGCTCAAAAAGCCTCAAAAGCGGGTTGGAGGGCACATGTTGAAAGCCAATGTATCTAATGCCCTATAGAAGTGTCCAAAGTCGGAAAAGGATGTTCCCGAAATCAGGTACTATGAAAGAACGCGAAAAGCGAACCAACGTGAAAGCCGCTCGAAGTGCTCACGTGAAAACGGAACAGTCTTTTCCTTTGGGCGTTGCCTGTCATGTCGTGACTCAAGGGGCCCCTGCGTAGGAGCAGGATTCGAAAGTAAGCAGCGGCGGAAATGCCAAAAGCTGCATGCACAAGAACTCAAGTTCAAAATGAACATGTCCACATTTTTGTGGCAAGAAATCCACACCGGTGGTTGTGGGAAACCTAAGCTCAAAACAAGGCCGGCGGAATGTCGATGCGCCACCTCTCAAGGGCCTTTTGGCCGCAGTAAGCACAGCAATCCCACTGCTTCATTTGCGAGTGGTCTGCTGAAGACAAAGCTTGGCACTCAGGGTTCGTGTGAAAGGACTTTCCGCTCTTGGTGGTGAAGAGCGTCCGGGGCAGCCATTCTGGAGCAAGATCATCTTGGACTGCTGCCAGGCGGTTGTGCACATCGATCCAATTGTTTCTTGCTTTTCTGAACTCACCTTCAACTTCTCGTAGCTCGCACTGCATGTAGCGCTTGGTGTCGATCAGCTGCTCGATCTCTTCCTCTTGGGCAGAGCATTGAGCCTGTAGGTCAAACAGTTCAGCTTCTTGATCTCGGACGATATCCTGAAGCCGGAGGTTTTCGGACATCAAGATCTTGAGATCAGTCTCAGGCTCCTTCTCTGTCTGCGTGCCCATTGCCGTAGAGCTCGTGGATGTCATAGTCCACGTGGTTCTGGTAATCGAGGAGCACCAGGAAGTAGAGCTACAGCAGCGAAAGAGCTGCCAAAGAAGCATGCTGAGTGCCATCGTGTAGAGGATCATGATCGCTTCCGGGCTCAGCATGAAGGTCAGAGTGTCCTCCATGGTCACAGCTTTCACCCCAATCATTTGTGAGGTGAGGACAGCGAATGCCAGGTGCTTGGAGTTGCCGGTCTTCGTGATGGCATGTCGTCGAGCACTGGCTTGTCTTTCAGCCATCGTTTTCTTCTTGGAGGCCTGGAAGCTCATGTCGGCTTTGAGGGAGATGTGGTGTGACCTCAGGCGATCGGCAAAGAGTTGCCGAGCTGAGAACTTGGTGACGCCATCAGCCAGTTGAGCCTCAGATGAGACCCATTTGAGGCGTGATTTCATACTCAACATTTTCTGCTTGGTCACCATCACCTCGATCTTGGTGCGTTTGTCACCTTGCAAGCTCGGTGTTTCAGCCTTGAGGGAGTCGTAGAGAGCCTTGGCATCCACGACAAGTGCTGAAGCCATCTCTGGGGTGAAGTCGTCCACCTGCCTCAACTGGAAGTCATGGCGTATGCAACCTTCCCAAAAGATCAGGAGGTATTCAAGGGCGTCCATCGCAGCTGAACATGCTTGACTCTCAGCATTGAGTGAAGACCTGCTCACCCGAGGTAGTTTGAAGCTGCGCCAATCCAAGATCGTGTAGTCTTGGGTCGAGCCGTCCTCCAAGATCTGCTGGTTGCAGAGGAACACCACATAGCCTCCTTGAGACTCACTGTTGCGGCGGACTCCCCATGCAGCATCGCTCATTGCAACCATACATAGTTTCTCCATGTCACCACCGAGATCTCTGAAGGTCAGGGCCGCGTCGCTGTTGGACTTTGCGAAGCGAAGGACCTTGTTGGCCTGAGCTGCTGTGTCACCAGTGGCGGAAGTGACCTCGCCACAGAGCAGAGAGACTGAAGCGCTCAAGTGAGGTGAAGTCTGAGTTGCTGGCCACTGCAAGGCGCCCAACAGGGCACGAAGACAGCTTTGCTCTTTGGTGCTCAGGTTGCGGTTGGCATCGTAGTCGGTGCAGGTCATGGGCTTGACGTTCTTAAGGTATTCTGCTTGATGTAGTTTGGACTCTGTTGCATCCCGACTCAAGTGGCAGCCGCAGAACTCAAGAGGTTTCTCAGCACTCTCCTCGGTCCAGTGCTTGAAGTTGAATGCCTCTTTGAGCTGGTTCTTGAGGTGTTCATATTCTGGTGCACCATCTTTTCCACAGCCAAGTAGGTCATCGACATGTAGTCCGACCATTGAGATCAAGGCCTTGTTGGAGTCATAGTATGTGTACAGGCATTGATCAAGTGGATGGGCACGGAATCCAAGGCCTTCTAACCTTCTTCTTGCCACCATGAACCATTGTCGAGGAGCATCGGCCTGGCCATAGATCGGCTTGATCAACTTCATGAGTGTTCCAGGGGCGACTCCGATGAGGTTGCAAGCGTCTCTGGGGATCTTGGCCCATAGGACACGTTCTTGAGGATCTCCCTGGAGGAATGCTGTGGAGACATCTGCAGTCCATCGTTGCCAGTGGTTGATCTGGCTGATTGCCAGCAGGACTTGCCTCGAAGTTCTCGACAATGTGGGTGATGAAGTGTCCAAAGCTCCTTGCAGGAGATCAGGGTCAGAGAAACCCTGCAAGACTAGGCGTGCTTTCGCCTTCAAGCCTCCTTTGCCATCTGCTGCCCATTTAAGGACGAAGCGGGCTTTCATGACTCTGCTGTGGTCGACGGTCTCCGGGTTCATCTCAATCTCCCAAACACCATTTTCAAAAATACTTGACAGTTCGGCCTTCTTGCCCTCCAGGAATGACAGTCTGTCTTCCAAGCTCATGCGCCTCTCGTTGAGGTCGGCGCTTTCTTTGACATTCTTCTTCTTGGGGGCGACTGCACCGGCACCAACAGCCTGCCAGATGTGACCTCGGCCACGCAGGGTCTTGCAACGATTCAACTTGTTGGTGAGGTCGCCGATGTAGTGAAGACCATGCTGCTCAGCTCCTGTAGAGGTGAGTGGGTAGAGAGTCTTTCCGGTCCAGGCTTCATTGAAGTGCTGCTCTTCGGAGGAGTTGACATAGATCGTTCTTGAACCTTGTTGCATTGACAAACCGGTGGTTGTTTGCAAGAGGTCTTTGTCGATGGGAAACTCTTCCGGATGATATGTGGTTGTGCGACCCCATGCATGATTCCGGACCAGGAAACCATCCTCTAAGCTCCACCAATCCTGAGTGGCTCCCAAAACAAATTCGTTGTTCTTCACATCGTAGTGCCAACCTGACGGGAGAGCGTTGGACTTGGTGAGGTCAAAGGAGTGCAAATCCACTTCGACTTCGATTTCATCAGTACGGGCCTTCTTTCTTGCCCAGATGGTTTCTTGTTGATCGAAGCGTCGACGGCGGTCCTGGAAGGATTCCGGAGTCCCAGGTGGATGATAGGAAGCATCAACCACAGGAGGAGCACTGCTGCTTGCCTGTTGTGGAGGTAGTTCATGTTGTCCTGCATGTGGCTCATTGGGATCTGGAAGATCAAGGTCATTGTCTTCTGGTACTGGTGGTAGGTTAGAAGGATCTGGAGGAGCCATCGGAGTACTCATGTGAGGAGGTTCGTCCATCGGCTGTTCTTCATCTTCGGAGGCCAGCTCTGGATGATCATGTAGATCAGGAAGTTCGAGCTGTGGTTCATCAGTGCCTTCTTGTTGTGGAGGATGGACTTCTGGTGTTGATGCCTCGATCCTCACACGGGACGTAGGTGGCTCCAGGCTGTTTCCAGATTCAAGACCATCGGGAGCTGCAGGCGAAGACATAGTCAGTGGTGAAGCCTCAGTGTCTGTTGGAGTGTAGTCGAGGTCACTGATCTCTGGGTCCACTTCGTCGATCGATCTCTTGTTTGACTTGCGAAGATCGATGATGCGCACTGCACGGCGCTGCCGAAGATCATGAAGTGCCTGCTTCACCCGATCTGAACCATTCACCATACCAGAGTCGTTGACCAGCTTTCTCACATGCTGAGATCCAGCGCGAAGGAGCACGGTGCCGTGAGCAAGCCAGTAACACGCAATCGTTCCAGTGTCTGGGTTGCGCTCGATGGCCAAAACAATTGCAGGACCTTTCCATCGGATGGTGTGGGCTTTGTCGGCTGCATCGCGCCAGTACAAGCAGCGCTCACCAGGATGAAGATCTTCGTCTCGTCCACCATAGCGTCGCAGCAAAGCTCTGCGAAGCTTGACATCAATTTCTGCCTTTCCACATGCCTGTTGAGCTGAGAACTTCATGGCCAGTCGTCGATGAAGACGTTCTTGCTCGGATACCTGCAGCTGCAAGGGTCCAGTTCGCTCGTCGGAGATGAGGCCGGGTAGTGAAGGTTCTCTGCCTAGTGCCAACTGGGAGGGGGTGAAGCCGTTCACAAACGTGTTGCTGTTGACTGCGGGGACCACCCATGCCAAAGCCTGATGTACTCCATCGAGTCCCTTCAATTCATATTCCAGCATGAAGATGGAGACGGCTTTCCTAACCAGTTGGTGGCGTCGCTCAACAATGCTTGTCCGAGTGTGTGCTTGCCCAGGAGAGATTCGCAGTTCAATGTCATGCTGTTCACACCATGATGATGTTGCATCCGAAGCCCAGCCAGTGCCTTCATCAGTGTACAACTGCTTCGGAGGTCCATGGAACTGAATCCAAGCTCGCTCAAGAGCCTTCTGCAAGGTCGGGCCCTTCTCATCAGGAATGGTGCGAGCTGCCATGTAGCGAGTTGCAACATCAACCATCACCAGAACTGCGATCTTCTTGGCCTTTTGTTTTCGATGGCCAGGTTCAAGAAGCATGCCAATCTCGTCCATCTCAAGCCAAAGAACGTCGGCTTGGAGTTGGGCATTGAACTCAACGGGGCGGTCAAGATGACCTGGTGCGTTGCCCTTCTTGACGGAATGGACTTCACAGTAAGGACAATGAAGATCCTGAACGGCTGCTTGAACCGATTCACTGCATCCACGATCTTTGAGCATTTTGACCAAGATTTCCTTTCGTGGATGCCCCAAGTTGCGGTGGAGGCGATATGCCGTGCGAACTGCTTCATGACCATGCACTGAGCCAAGCTTCCGCAAGATGCCGGTCAGGGCCTTCTCCTCTTCATGGACGGCGTAGACCTGCTCATGTAGGCCTTCGACGATGAGAAGCCCTCGAACCAAAGTTGAGGCCAGCTCGTCCTGGTAGTTCTCGGCCTTTCGGCATCGATTTCTTCCTTCAAGTCGCTGATGAAGGTGCTGACCATCACATCGCTTGGACATCAGCTGGTACATTGCCCACTTTGTGGTTTGCAGTCTTGTAGTTTTCTTGATAGGCATGAGAGTGCCATCATCAGCTTCAATCACCGCACCATAGGCACACTGGTCGAAGATGGCCTGATGTCCTGGTAGTTGGCGAAGATGTTTGGTCTCCCAGGCCAAGCTCAAATATGGATGCTCCAGATGGGCATGGTCGCCACGGCGTACCTGCTTGTAGTAGAGCTTCTTGCACATTGCCAGGTGGGTTTCATGATCGACTTCACGTCGTTCCTGAAGATCCTGAGCTTGGGCCTCATTGTGGACATTGATTTGTTGCATTCTGGACCACAAGGTGCACTTGGGAGACATGTAGATCTCATCGGGCTCTAACTCATCGCACAACCTGAGCAATTGTTTTCTGTGGGCTGCACGATTGAAGTTCCAGCCATCCTGCAAGCCAAAACGCATCACTTCGACATCACCATGTTGTTCCAAGAGTTGTGTGATGCGACCTTCTCCGGCATACACCTCCCAGATGAGGCGTTTTCGGTGAGTGATTCCATGCTCACGGGCGTGGTGAACTTGTTGTTGAAGCCATTTGTTGTGGTCGGCCAACTGAGCCTCGAACATGGTGTAGATCTTTTCCATCTTTTCAGCGGTCTTGGTGACAGCTTCAGGAGGGATGTCAATGAAGTTCTCCTGATCCACCTCCATGTACGTCGTGTCATCGGGAATTTCTCCTTTCTCACAAGCCTGAAAATAGGCGTGAACTTCAGTGGTCATTTCAAAGAAGCGCTCGTGGGCGTTGAGGTCATCGAGGAAGTCCTTGAGCTTGAGGCTTTGATCATGGTCGTCCTCACACCGCAGGTCGAAGGCGGTCGGGAAGAAATCCTTGGGGTCATGAACTCCTTCAGCCAATCGCAAGAGCATTGCGCCTTGACGGCCACGAGGGATGTCCCGCCAGGCATCTTCATGAAGGAGCTTCATTCGAGACCTGCCAAAATCGACTTCAGCATGTAGAGCTTCAAGAAGAGGACGTCCAAACAGCATTGGCGTTGCGCCATAGATCACATAGGCCTGGATGCGGCCTCCATGTTCAGCCAATCTCGTCGGGAGCTCAACCATCCATCGTGCGTGACCAGATGCATCGCCTCCGAAGCGAAATGCTTTGTCGCAGCGCTTGAAGACCACGTCGTCCATGGGAAATCCAAGGATCTCCAACCACTTCAAGTACCTCAGGACGTACTCGCTGCCAGCCAGGAATGACGATGCTCCTTGGTCTTGGATGCACGAGTCAGGCTCAGGAGTGAGCCAGCCGCCAGCCCGAACCAAGGTTTCGCCCTGTGCATAGGCCTCTTCAGGGTCGTAGAAGATCTCAGGCTCGAAGGTCTCGACGGCATCAAAGAACTCTTCCTGGTGGAAGGCCATGCTGATCATGGAGTCGTCCTCGGCTGGTCGCTTCTTCGGAGATGATGAACCAGCTGCTTGAGAGGAGTTGCAGTTCGCTGCAAAGTGTCCAGGTTTGCCGCATCGAAGACAAACCATAGCCGATCGAGCTCGAGACTTGCCCATGGGACCTTTTCCACTCTTGGATGAGCCTTTGCCTTTCGTAGGAGATTTGGACTTCCCTGAGCCCTTCCCCTTGCCTTTGGATGGACTTTGAGCCATCACGGGCATCTGACCTTTTCCACTCTCCATGACGGCCACGACGGGGTAGAAGCCACGACTCTGCCTGAGTTGATTCAGGCGGTTCTTTGCATCCACATAGGTGCTGTAGACGTCGTCGAATTCCTGGGTGTCGAACATGTTGTCCACATCGTCGTTGGCTTCATCCTGGTAGTAGGTGCTATCAGGCTCATAGTCATTCCAGTCATCAAAGGTCTCCTGATGCTCGTCGTCATACTCCAGGGCGTCCTGGTAGTACATGTCATCATCATCGTAGGGCTCGTCATGGTCATACTCCTCCTCATAGAACACTTGTCCTTGTCGCTTCCATCGGCCAGGGAGTTGAGGCTTTCTCAAATGAGAGGGGACGTGAACATGCCGATGATCTTGTCCAAGGATGAGGAAGAGAGCTTGTTCCACGGCAGGCAGGGTCAAAGCTGATCCGATGTTCGTTTGAACCAGCTGCTCTTGTTCACGGGTCAGACCTGCCCTTTTCAACATCAGCCAACCTGTGACTTCTTCTGGTAGGTCGACTTTGTGCTTTGCAACCTGTCTCAAAGCTTGGTGGAACTCCGTGGTGTACTCGAGGATGGATTGATCCTTCTTGCGCCTCATCTTGAAGAAAAAGGCATCGAAGTGGGTCGGCATTTCGACCTTTGAGTCATAGGCCCACTGCTTGTCTAGGCGCTTCAAGAGGATCTCCAGGCCATTCTCGTTCTCGAGTTCCTGGATGTCGAGGTCTTCGCATTGGGTCCATGATGGGCCCTCCAACACGGATAGCACGTTCAGTGCCACTTCATTCTTCCTGCCCTGAAGCTCCAGCTTCCGGGCATACAACTTCACTCTTCGTCGCCACTCGGTGTAGCCGACGGTGGTGTTCTCAAAGCGGGGCACGAAGTTGTCTTTGACATCTCTGCCAGCGCCAGCACCGCCGCTCGCCATGGAGCTGCCGCCAGGAGGGCGAGAGGTTCCGCGCCTCGGGCTTGAGGACATGGCGTCGCGCGTGCTGGAGCCTACCGCTTTGGGTAGGCTCCGCTACCAATATGAAAGAACGCGAAAAGCGAACCAACGTGAAAGCCGCTCGAAGTGCTCACGTGAAAACGGAACAGTCTTTTCCTTTGGGCGTTGCCTGTCATGTCGTGACTCAAGGGGCCCCTGCGTAGGAGCAGGATTCGAAAGTAAGCAGCGGCGGAAATGCCAAAAGCTGCATGCACAAGAACTCAAGTTCAAAATGAACATGTCCACATGGTTTTGTGGCACGAAATCCACAGGTACCCTTTGGGTGAAAGCATTCTATAGTGCAAAGCCCCCGTTTCAGGGTGTCTAATGATAGCCCTCTGGAGGATTTGTTTAATGGACATCTATTAAGCACCCGTGCTAACACGGACCCTCCAAGGGGTGTCCAAAAGCCACCGGACGAACGGTCCTGGTAGGGCCTGGTAGGGGGTTTTTGGTGGTCTTTGACTCCCAAAACATCGGGCTTTGAGGAGGACATGCGGCATCGTCTGGGTGGGTCCCTCAAAATTCACATATATCCCAGACACTCCATGTATGCCATATATGCCTACATTGGGGTGGTTTGGGGGGTCAATGTAGACATATATGGCATACATGGAGTGTCTGGGTATAGCATAATTAAGACTAGCTTAGTAAGCCTCTAAGAGATTGACCTCGACGTTTTCACGAAGAGAAGCGAAGACGTTTTCACAATGACGATGAAACGCTCCGACGGTCTCTTCGACCGTTTTTCCATGAAACGGATCCATGTGTAAATCCTGCAATCCTCCAATGAAGCTACCCAGAGGCTCATGGACCCGAACCAACTTCGAACTGCTACGGTTCGGTCCAAAACCCTGGCTATGAAGGTCCAATGAGTTTTTGGGATGTGGTTCTCCCTCCACGACCCTTTGGTCCACCCCCAAGTGGTTCACCGGCTGTCTGCACTTGGACAATCACCTGAAGAGACCCCTGGCTGGTGCACCTGGATGTGCGGGGGCCCAAGACCTTCCATGGGACTGGAATATAGTTACATTACGTAACTCACTCCATGTACCCTAGAAGTCCAGTTCGACTATATTTTGACCGGCTGAAGTAAAGGAAGTTCCCGAAATCAGGTCCCCGTTCGTCAGACCATTCTTGTTATTATAGTCTTTGACTCGGGTGGGACTGGCCCTAGTGTATATGACTATTCCATCGATGGTCGAAGGAACACCTGGACAGTCCCTTTCAGCAAACGAATTCCTGTTTTCCAGCACGGTACCGGCGAACGCATCGAGGTCCAGTGTTCGGCCCCCTTGGACTCTTCGTTTCGGGTCCGAACGAACACCTGAACACTCGTCCGTGTGAGACGAACGACCTCACCCCTTCAGGTGCTTCGACCCGTCCTCACCAGTTGCTGCTCTCCGCTCTGGTCACCCTCTTCTCTCATCTCCGGTCGCACCGGAGAAAAGTGTGGACCGGAACCACTGCCGGACGATGGACCAGTGCGCATGGACCCCAAGATGACGTGGTCCCCCCCAATATGACGGGGAACTCTCCGAACTCCGACAGTCAGAGACACACGGCAGTCAGCGTGGTCCAACTCGCGCGGATCCGGCAGTCAGAGACGAGCTCAGAGACGACCCACACCCGAAAGAACGACCCTTTCGATCCCAACGCAGAACAAAGGACGCCGAAGGGGCTGCGAAACGGTCCCCCCAAACGCCTCCCCACAGCCACGCCCTCCCGGTTTTGGTCCGCTCGACCCGCCCTGCCACCGGTTCAAACGGCAGGCGGAGAGCTGAAGGATTGGATGAAGCTCATGGAGGGTCCACCGGTCGCCAACGACATCCGAGCCCCTTGGGGACTCGAAACCAAACCCGACCGGTCGACGAGGAACCACGAGGAAACCGGTCGAGGTCGGTGGGGAAGCGGTGCGAGGTCGGTGGGTGGACGGAGATCTTCCATGAGCCTTCTCTCGATCCATATACCCTAGCCTTCCAAGACCATTCAAAGAACGGTTGACCATTCTTTTTATAGTCGACTGGACTCCCAGGGTATACCTATGCTCGAAGGCGTTTTTTGATGACCATACCCTAAACACCAAACCGACGGATGGGACCTAAGAGCTGCATTTGTCGTGCCAAACAAAGCACTCTTCTGCCTGTTCATCGAGAAAACCAGCCAACCAGTTGGCAGATCCATGTTTTTTTCTCCCGCCACCCTAAGTTAGATCAAACCCCTTTGAGATCAACCCACCCAACCCCCAAAGCGATCAGATCATGAGTCTCTGTTGGCCCGTGGGTTTCCCCGCCTTCATGAACACACCGCCCGCCGTCCCGAACCTCACCATCCGCACCCATGTCCACCCGCGTCCCGGGTCGCGGGACGAAGACGAGGTGGGAAGCCTCGAGGACTTTGGCTTGGATTTAGCTCGGATACTGGAGCACTGCGCCCCGGATCCGAAAAGCGTGGTCGAAGCCGTGGGGGGTTGGGGGGTGTGTTGTCTACGCCTGTGCGCACGAGGGCGAGGAACACCAGGGCCGCGAACAGCGGGGTTGGAACACCGGGCAGATTTGGTTCTTCAGACGGCGACCGAAGACCGTGTGTTCCTTCAAGACCAGCATGCAACAACACTCCGAAAGCATTCCAGAAGTTGGATCCAGACTTGGATTCCAGACAAGTCTGGATCCGGAGTCTTGTTCAACCCAGTTCGTGTGGATCAGACCAAATGGACCCTATTTACATCTATTTACCGTACCACCACGAACGTTGGGGGTGCTGGTGGTCCGGATGCCCGGTTACTCCGGTAACTCGGTCACCTCGCTCGGCAAGAGCTTGTCCGCAGCGCAAGTCACTTGGTCGCCCAAGTCATAATCTAATAGGATTACTTGGGTCTATTCTAAGGTTTCAGCTGACTGTTACAGGTAGGACAAACCCAAAGAATTTCAGTATTACTATGTGGAATTGATTTACAGAATCTGCAGGTCGTTTTAGTTGCCATCTCTTATCCCTCTATGCTGGGGGGTATCCTCCGTGGAACACCACCCCCCCTTTGGGTAGAAAAAAAAGCCACAAGAACATACCAGCACCACCCAGGTCGGGTGGTTTATAGACCCCCCAGGTCAGATGTATTTTCCATCTAATAACCACCCAAACTGGGTGGTGCTGGCATAATAAGTTTAGTATCAACGTTGATGTCCAATGTATAGATGCTCCTTTTTGTTGGACCAATCCAGGCGCCAGTGGATGTTCGGGGCACCCCCTATCAATCCGACACCCCAAAATCTAAAAAAAAAACTGAGCGCCCAAGAGCTAGCGCCCATTCGAGCTGGCTTTCCCGGCTCGTGGTTGGGAGTTCAAACTTGGTGAGCCCAAGAACTAGTTGCCCGGTCCTTTAGTTCTGAACTGGGGCTTAGTTTCTATCAGCTCATCAGCTCTACAGGTCAGAAGGACCTCATCGTACTGGAGTTGGTCTTACAAAATCACTGCTCAACGAGGTAAAAGAACAGGTTTTACTGGGTCAGACTGGACTTGTAGGGAATACGTTTCTATGGGTTCTGCTGGTTCTTTCGCATTGGTTCCCGAGTGATCGAGAGGCATCTGTCTGTTTTCCGTTCCGCGTGTGGGCCATTGAAATCCACGTTTTGCGCGGTCAGAACTCGTTAAGACCAATGGCCCCCAAGAATCCGCACCAATGGCACCAGCAGTCACAGAGCTCGTCGGGGTGCCTGGCCCATTGGAAGCTAAGAGTTGGGGGTGCCCAAGAACCACATCACATCCACAGCCCCGGTCGGCTGAAAAAGGAGCCACACCACCCCACTCCATGTGATCTCTGGTAATGCCGGCCGGTGGTTGGCGTGCGCCACACGTCACGTCGCGCGGCCACCTCTTCAGCCGAGGTGAACAGGTCTCTGTCAGCTTATGAAAAGGTGGGCCTGAGGCCTTCCCGCCAAAACGGGCCCCTGCTTGAAGCAAGACGCGCCGTGAGACGTGAGGCTCTGCCGGGGGAGAAAGACCCGACAAGCGCCCCGACCGGGCCCCTTGGGATGGCCCTGAGGGTGCCGAGGTCGAAGTGGGGAACTGGAAGAAGGCAAGCATTTGCTTCAAGAACTATATCGATATATATATATATATAATATAATTATGTCATTCTATAGAGTTCATGTTCCGAAGTTGAATCGAACACATCCGTGGTGCCTCCGATCAGATTCGGATTCCGAGTCCGGGGGGGTTCTTTCCCCATGATTCCCGGCACGTCCGACCGTTTGGGCCTCCGCACATGGGCACCGTCAGCCCCGCTGACAGCGCGGCAGCGTCCCGAACGAGGGAATCGAGCACGGGTTGCTGAGTACATGATGTCAACCACCGTCAGGAGCTGGGAAAGAGTATTTGGTGGTTTCGCTGTTTTCTTCATGTTTTATTGGTTTGCTTCTTGCTTTGCTTTGATCGGTGGGATCTCAATTGAGTCTGGCCAGATTAAAACCTTTGGGGGGGACAACTCCATAAGCTGATGAAAGGGTGTTATGTTTGGGAAGAGGGGGTCACACCGTCAGATCCATCGGTGATTGTTCCATGACGTCAGGGGGGCTGTTTTTAACAACCACCCCACAACCGGGGCGGTGGCGACCACGAGATTTTTTTCAGATTTGGTTGACATAGGTTTGGTCAAATCTGTTGTAAATTGGCTGGTTCGACTCCATGGTGTGCAACCAATCTGAAAAAATGAAGGCCTTTGAATTCCTATTCAGAATCCCAAAGCCAGAACCATCAGGGTGTTCGTTCTTTGAAGCGTCCTTTTCCATCCTTTTCCCCGGTTTTTTGTTCCGGACCCTCCAAAAACCCACGGCGGGTAAGGTTTCGGTGAGTCGCCATCCATGGCGGTCGTTTCGGGTGTGGCCAAACGTGTGGCCAAACGGTGGATGGAGCTTTTTGGCGGTCGTTTCGGGTGTGTGTGGCTTGGGGATGGGTGTTTAGGGTGTTTCTTTGGGTCGGCCATGACAGAGCCACCACCTGTTGTGGTGGATTTGGTTTCTTCGCGACCGGGGGATGAACGACACTAGGCAAATGAGGTCCGAACGACCTGGTAAGGATCATGTTCTTACCCCTAGGGCTCCAAGTACCTTCTTGGGGTTTAGAGGGTCCAAATACCTTCTGAGGAGGTACTTGGAGCCCTAGGGTCCATGAATCTCCAGCTCAGCTCGATTCTCCGGAAATCTATCCAATGTCACGAGCCCCGTAGCGCGCACCGAGCTCGCCACGTGCATTGCATCTCGCGCGTAGCGAGCCACGTTCCGGTCGGTCGGCCAATTCGAAGGACATCACTGATGTCGGCACCACGGAAAAGGTGGTTGTGTTGGACACCTGACCATGTCAGGACTCCATCCCATGTCAGCACCCCTGTCGCTTGGGTGGTGCTGTATTAGTCATGTCTTCACTGTTTGAAACAAAATGAAGCAGAAACTCCATGCTTAGCCGAAACAGGCCATTGAGGAGTCCCGTATTGGTCGTACTGCTGGACACGAGGAACGTGCGCGAGCGCAGATCCGCTGATCTTCCGGTGGAACGTGTGGTTCACTTGGCACGCGTGATCAGATGACACATCGACCACTTCGGTGATCAAACGGATCAAAGGGTTTTGCTGCCTTGTATACTCTCATGTCTTTCCCAGAGGCTCTGTTCACAGCCGGTTCCGAAGCAAACTGGGATTGCTTCGACTCGTTCGACCCCTCCGGATTCGGCTCCAGGGTCGTGGTCTGGGTCAACGCCGAGGTGGTCCGGCCCACCGAGCGGTTGGATCGATGGAGCTCCCGGTTCGCCCCACCGGTTGGCCCCACCCGGTTCGAACGACACCGTGACGACGAACGACGAAGATGAAGTAATAACTCCACCTGGTATAGTCAATCCATCCACCACGACCAGCAGTTCGGGGTATAGAGTTCATGTTCTTCCCAGACGCTCCGTGAACGACGCCCTGAAACTGGTCCCTCAAAACCGGGATTGCTTCGACCCGTTCGACGTTTCCGGATTCGGGTCGCGCGGGTCGCATCTGTGTTTCGTCTATGTTCGTCATTCGGACTCTCAGGGCACTGTGGACGGTGCGGACCCCTCTTGGGTCACAGAGCTTCGATTTGGATCGTGGACAGGTTCAGTGGTGCTCGGGACCCCAAAGGAGTTGGTCACTGGGTCACTGCCAGTTCGCCCGCCCGACGGAACTCGAACCACAGCACAGGCCACCGGAACAACACAGGCCTCGAGGCCAACCCCTCGCAGCAGAGAACTCGAGTCACCGGAAGCTCAAGGGGCAGGTCACTCTCCGACTGGGGCGCCCTACCTCCCGTGGTGGGGCGGTGGTCCTGGTGCACTGAACAGACCGCGCCGGTCCCTGGTTGGCCACTTCAAAAGAGAAGAAAGAAGCGTGGAAGTTCTGTTGATGTCAAGCACTGACTGGAAACCATCATACGTAGCCAGCCGTGCCTCTCGTCTTCAAGTCGAACTGGATCGACCATGGACCATCCTGGGAGGCCATCCGAAAGCATCCGAAACCGGCCAGACCCATCAGCCCCCAGTCGGACCCGGATGTCCGGCGATCTTTGTGAGTGGCGCCAGTGCTGTGAGCATGCGGTCGGCTCATGGTTCTCCATTGGTTCTCCAATTCACCATGCTGAGGGGCTCCTTCTCTCCCCCCGTCATATTTGGGACGCTATATTTAGCAAAGATCTAGACGACACGTATTGGGGAGGAACAAACATGCCGATACTACTGTACGTAGAACAGTTTAAAGCATCCCATATATACTCCCATGTTGCTGCACAGAATCTAAAATTGGTGGTGTTAAGATCAATTGCATCATTTTGCATTGACACGTGTTTTTGGCATGATTTGTTTGATGATTCAATATCGTTTCATGACTACTTAGCTCCGCCACGGAGCTCTTAAAGAGAAGTATACGCATTTTCATGGATGTCCAGAACTGATACTGTGCATACAGTTGTTGTTCGTAGTCTTCAAAATTCCAGACACTCCATGTATGGCATAGACATATATATATATACATTGACCCCTGAAGCCCTATAAATGAGCCAGTCCTGCCGCAGTGTTTGGGAGTTTGCTTTGTGAACTAGAGATGACGGCTGACCTTGCACGACCGACATGTTACATGCTCAATTAACATGAGGTGTCTCGTTACGTTTCCTTCTATACCCCCTCCCCCCTCCACCTTCCCACATCCACCGCGGGTTGAACATAAGTAACATAAGCATCCGCATCAATAAGAACACATAGACCCTCACAGCGCGAGGTCTCTCATTCCTTATAAACGGAAGTCGCTGCCATGCCTCTGCCTCCTGTGGGCCCTGGCCTCTGCGGCTCGGCCATCCTCGACCCGATCTGCTGGACTTCCTGCCTTCGGACCGTCCCCCGCGGGTGGGACCGTTCCCCCTCGCTCTCCGGCTGGGTGGGCGAAGGCAGGAGTCGCTCGCCCCCACAGAGCCCGGAAGATGAGAGTTTGGACACCCCAAGGAGTCCAAGGATTCGAAGCAAGCAGCTGCGTTGTACCCGGGAATTGGACGACCTTAAAACAGATCAACATGGTATACGCAGAACTTCCGGGTATATGCAGGGGGCTGAGAAACGTCATCCTTCACGAAAACCGCTGCCAGTAAAAGCTTGCTGCCAGTACGCTGCGAGGCCTTGCTTTCGGCATGGCTATTCCCAGACCCTTGGACTCCACAAATCCCGGACGAAACCATGAACGACTCCACCTGGTCCGTCGTCATCAAGAGGCGAGGGAGAAGGTGAAGAGGTCCGAGAAGGAAAATCCGATGAGCTCCGCCCGGAAGAAGACCCTTCTGAAGGGTGGGAGATCTGCAGGACAAGAATCCCCCAGCTTGACACCAGCCCAACTGCTCAGGTTCGTGAGATGGGTCCCCTTTTAGGGGGTGGATGGGTATACCCATAATGACCGCCAAAACGCCTGCTCCCAACTCGGGAGATCACACATGCGGAGAGTTTTTTTTACCAATCGATCTTCTCCACCAGAACCCTCCATGATTGTTTTTTTTGCTGCGAAGGGGGGGTCGAAACTCACCCAAACAGGGAGGGCTGGGGCCCTGGTCATCAGTTCTTCAGCCATCCTCAGCCGTCTAAACGTGTTGCCAGCATCCTCAGCAAACATCCAGGGCACAGCTAGCAAGAAAGACAAAGACTAATAGTGGCCAATAAGAGGAATATTTGGGTGTCATTAAGTATCAACATAGGGCAACGATCAGGTTCGGGAACATAGACCACAACCTTCCACATCCCAAAAAAGCATGGGTAAAAAGAACACCCTGACCTCCATATGGAACTTCTGGTAGGTTTTACTTTGAAAGATCCTTAATTAACTATATTATACCTAGCACTTCCTGTCTGGGTGCCCTGTCTGGAGGCCTGTAAGTAAGGTAGGGTAGCCTGGATGACCCTGGTATGAGGGAGCAAGTTTCGGGTCAGAGGGCTACGGCCCTAGCTTTTTCTTCTTTTCTTTAAGTGGTCTGTCTTCCTCGGTGATTGTGACACCACCGATTCCCTAACGGAGGGGTTCGTATTTTTGAGGTATTTTAGAGAGTTGGTAAATGGGATGGCCATTCGCGGTTGCCTTTGGGAACTCTTCGCGAATTCACAAGGCTCAGTTGAGCCATGGAGGTCATGTTCAATCTCTGCCCGAAACGCAAAAGGTGCCCCATTTCCTCATGATGGGTGAAGATCCTGTTGGTTCCGTTTTCGGATTTGACCCACATTCATCAGGATACATCAGGAGCTCTCGCACGAAGGTCTCCGTGTCTCCAAAACGCCCAAAACGCAGCGTGCTGTGTTTTCTCAACGACGAGCTACACTGAAGCAGCTGGCAGCTCAGTGTGTACAGCAGCCCAGCCTTGCCAAAGGGAGGCCGGAAGCAGCCGCCCAAAACGATTCGGGGCCGCCCCCGGCGACGCGTGAGAGACAGGGCCACATCCTAGGTTTGGACATCCCGATGTCAAGTAGCTAAGGATTTTGGACGGACTACACCAGGTGGACCATTTCACTTATTCCAGGGCCTGAAAAAGGGGTGGTTCATGGACACCCCGAAGTACGGCTGTTTGGGGCTATAAATAGACACCCCGACAGGAGGGTCCTGGTTGTTAGAACATGTTATGACTATAAGGATTTCATGAAAAACGCCAGCTGTCAACCATTGTATTGTTATAACTATACTGAGGATTTGGGGCATACAACACCATGTAAATAATTTCTTCAATAGTCGAACAGGCCTTTCTGAAGAATTGCCAGCACTTTCGACGCATAGGCTTCGCCAGGCCTCCCTTTGGCTACAGACCGCGTCAGCAATGTTGCAGCGGTTTGTGTATGGGCGGTCCGTGGACTAGTGACTAGTCCTACCTTCAGGGTAGGCTCCGCGGACTTTGACAGTTGCAGAAACGCGGCGCCGCACAAGACACGCCGGCGCCAGTGGCCGAGCAAAAACAAGGGCGACGAAACGCACCTGCGCGACGAAACGGCCGTCGTTCAGAATGAGTGCACGTTGCTTTTCACCGCCGCGCGCGAGCGCCGGCTGTCACCTGGGCCGTTGCAGATTTGACACCCGGGTGCGGTACCAACTGGGTGTTTCTGCATAGGATCCAGGTGTTTCCAGGACACCAGACTCCGTCCGCGTGCGCGGCTCGAGAGAGCCGCGGCGGCCGCAGTGACATGCGCTAATGTGACCGGGACCGATGCTCTCCAAGCGGCTGATGGATGAAATGAAGATTGAGGAATGAGTGTTAAGGAAAGATGGATGAAGGCGGAATCCTTTGGCTTTGAAGGATAGGAATAGTTCAGAACCATGTTGTTGTGTTTTTGTCTTGTCTCATGAACCTAAAGACGAGGCACCCATCAGAAAAGCGAGGTGTCCTGGAAGCGTGCCCTCCAACACACATGACATCGATGTAGATTACTAGGGGGCCTGACCACCGCCCCACAATCCATAAAGGAGACGACTTCCCTTGCCCAAACAGAGCATCGACGCAGGCAATGCTGCATATCTCCAGAGCGTTCCTCCTTCAGTGTACCAGACGGCTAGTCGCTCTCGCTCACCCCCAAATATCGTGAGCATCCACAGGTACAGATGGGGTCGTAGAACAAACCACCCCAACTCGATCTGTGGAACCGATCCGATTCCCTACATCCTACAAGCTCCAATGACCTCATTAGATCCCTACCGGTTTTGCTGGGTCAGACTGCCCAGCGTTCCGATCCATCCTCCGCCATGCGCGCCTCTGTGCGGACCTTGGCACGCCCGGGCGCCCGGCGACGGCTTCGAGCGACGGCTTCGAGCGATGGAGGGGATAGGTGGGGCACGAATGCGCGTGGGATAGGTGGGACGGGATAGGTGGTGGAAGGATTGGGTTCGCTGAAGACCTGCAAGATGGATTCTAACTGGCTGAAGGGTCCAACGGTCCAAGTGGAGCTGCTCGGAGCTTGAGCTGGGAGCTGCTCGGAGCTGACCGGCGAAACCAGTCTCTATACCCCGAAAAAGGACATCACTTGGCTGGTACCGTCCCCAGTGTACGGGTTGAAGCTTAGTGCGGTTTTCAAAAGTGCGTTGGAAGCCTCTGCGTTCGTTTGACTCTGGTTTCGAGGCGATGACTACTTGGCGGTTCGATTGAAGCGGCTGGCCGTGCCGGGCTGAGCAAAGAGGTGCATTCCATGGAGAAGCTACTAGGGTCTCGCGTGTTGATGATCCCATCCAGTTATTCGTGGATGTGTTTGGGGCACTCAACTCCTTCCTCCGTGGAGAGCTCGCCTGGCCTGTTTCCCTCCATTGAGCACGCAGCGGAACATGGGCGCGGCGGACCACCGGCGCCACTCCAGGCCTGGGCGCGAAGCTGCAGCGTGGCCGAGCTGCCCGCGCCGCTCGGCGGAGGTACGACACTCCCCCACACCGCTCGGGGTTCGCCGTTTTGAGGTGCTTGTTGAGGCGACGGGATGCCACCCTGGGAAGGTGAAGGGAGTCCAACGTAGATGCCTGTAAGGTAGGGGGGCCGGAAGGGTGACGCCAAGTCCTGTGCGGCTTCTTTTCGACTGAAGTCCTGAGCGGCTGAGCTTACCTCGCCTGAGCCGACATCGCACCGCCATCGGTCGTGGAGGTGATCTGTGACTTCAATTATGTCGGGGATTCGTTTCAGGATCGACCAAGTGTACAGTCAAAGGGTCTACAGAGTCAAGGACATTCAGTGACAATGAAAAGAAGTGCTGACAAGTCTTGGGACCTGCCTTTCGACACCTTCCATTGAACTCCAGCATGCAGCATGTTCTACATGTTCGAGCTGGTGCTATTGAGTCCCATCTGAGTCTAGATCATTGGAAAGGACCACAGTCACTGGAACTGGCTGAGGCAGGTTCTCTGAGCTGAGCAGGGCCGATGGGGACCGATCGCAAGCCGGTGGACGAGGAGGCCCACCGAACCGGGAGGGCTCCCCCTGGTGGTTGACCCCGTTTGGGCTCCAAAGCACCGGTTGGGTGAAGAAAATGGTTCGGGTGGGTGCCAGGGGGGTCTAACCACCGAACCTGAGGAGATGGGCCAGGAGCCCTGGTAAGATCATCCAACCGTGTAGGGTAGTCTATCGGACGCACTCATTGGACACCCATCCCTGGCTTTCACACACTCTGACACTTGTATTCAGTGAACTCAGTTACCACGCTGGGAAGGAAGGTGAGGGAAACGTAAGGTGAAAAAGTCAGCGCAACTGAAATGTTTAACAATCTGTTCACTCATCTGCAGAAGCGCGGCTGAACGTCGGCGGCTGAAGGCAGCGGGGGGAAACCGGTTTGGGGGTGGTAGCATGAAGGACCATGAAAGCAAACCGATCAGATTGGACAGCTTGAAAAACAGTTCTTCTTGCAGGTACAGGAATGTGCGTCCACATTCCCTTCCGGCTGAATCCCGTAGCTTCGTTGGCATGGCTAGGGAAACAGCTGCCATGCCCCCTGCATGTAACTGAAAAAGGTGGTTGAAAAACCGTGGAAGGAGTAGCGGTGGAAAACCCTTTGTCCAGGGGTGGACACACACA